TTTATTAACAACTTTATTACAAAATTCTGTTTGCTTTTTTTCTGAAGAAGATGTGTGGCATCTTGACAGAGCGTTTGGGTTCGAAACCAATTCCTACTTTGAAGTCCACTTCTGTAGAAGTTAATGTAGAATTTGTTTCGATCATACTGAGTAGCATTTCGTTATAAATACTTGGTAACTGTTTTTATCAGGATTCATCTTTCGAAGAAAAATTACCCAAACAAAATATCACAAATTATCGTTTTTATTTTTAAGCTAATACTGTGTCATCTCAAAACAAGTTACACGAGTTTTTTGTTGCCTTCATTGCTTAATTCCCTTTCTGAAATTAGCTAAAAATACAATGTTTTTGGTAGATATCTTTTTCATTCATATATATAGTGACAATTTTAAAAGATTGAAAGACAAAAGGACGTAATGTAAAATATGCGATGTACGTCCAATTTCAGGCAATAATCGGTTTCAGTTTGTAAGTAGCAACGCTTTAAAATAATCCTCTTTAAAAATAGTAAATCTTTTCCTTATATTAAATAATCAGAAACTTAATAGTGATGAATAAAACTAATATGAGATCGTAATTGTATGATACGTAATAAAAAGCTGTTTGTTTCTTATTAATTAATAATGTTTAAAGATCGATTTTTGGCTGTAGAAGAATAAACATAGATAAGCGAGTAGGCGACGAAAGAATAAATAGTAAAGAAACCGATAGTCGAAATGAAGAAAGACGGTGTGTGGTCTGTTCTTTGCAAGTAATAAGTTTGTGTGAGCTTAAAGGTTCTCGAGTAATATTGATGGTTTAACATTTCATCGAACTGGACGTTTGGTAATTTTGAGAAAGATGCGGATGAATAAAAAGGTACCGGTATTAAGGTGAATAGTAGTTAATAGTAGTCACTTGTAATAGTCGGAAGTAGTTAATGATCAGTCGTAGTAACAGTCACAGTTGTATTAGAAGTCTTCATCGGTCGCAAGATGTTATGAGTCGTAAGAGTGTAGTTGTTCATCTTATTTGTTATTTTAAGATTGTGAAGTAACTACTATTGTACTTTTTCTAATACTTATTTTAAATATATTTTATCAGTAGGATTAAAGTGGGTGTATGTTAACCTTGAACCTCTGATTCAAACGAAAAATTCCTACATGCATACGAATAACAATTAGGAATAAAAGGAATCTAGTTTTCCTGTTATATAATGTCTTTATCTGTGTAATGTTACCATGATTGTACATTCTACGATTTTTATATTAAAATTACAAATGAGTTTTCGTCGTTTAAAAAAAAATATATATATATATATATTTATTGTGAAAGAACGGTAGTTTAAATTGAAACGAAGTATTGTCCATCACTAGCAACTACTCTCTCCCATCTTTCAGGCAGCGTTCGGATTCCATGTCTGAAGAACTCATTATCTTTTGATGCTATCCACGAATCAACCCAATTTTTGGTATCTTCATTTGATGTGAACCGCTGCTTCAACAGAGAATGTGCCATTGACTGGAACAGATGATGTCGGACGGCGCAATGTCTGGTGAATACGGCGGGTGGGGTAGTACTTCCTAATCAATTGTTTTCAAGTAGTTTTTCACCGAAACCGCAACATGTGGACGAGCATTATCATGTAGAAGAATAACTTTGTCGTTTCTGGAGTAGTATTGATTGTGTTTTTCCTTCAGAGCTCGGCTCAATCTTATCAATTGTGTTCAGTAGATGGTTTCAGTGATTGTTTCCCTCTGATTAAGCAACTCGTAATACATCACACCCAGCTGATCCCACCAAATACACAGCATGAGTTTTTTTCCATGAATATTTAATTCAAGGATAAATTCAATGTTCCCGCAAATGACGCTTATTTGGCTCAAATTTAGACATTTTTGGATAAAAAAAATATATGATGCTAATACGAAGTTAGTAATATGATATGGTTATGTTGCTCTTGAATGAGCAACGTAATTTTTAAACCGGTGATCTGCGAATTCTAACGTAAGCCTTGTGTCATGCCATCTCTCTCAATACTGCAGAAGCTTATTTGTAATTCTAATATGTAGCAGGGATAATTCAAGGTCCCACGACTGATTGCTAAACGAGTAACCAGTTTTAAGCGTTCAGTCAAGGACGTAATTTGAACGAGAAAACACGTTCTGCATCTTCTGCATTCATTTTCCTCTCACTGTTTGAAAAAATTGAGGTTTACAAACCATGGAACGCTGGTCTGGTAAAATAGCTATAGTTACTGGTGCATCCAGTGGAATTGGATTAGCAACAGCCAAAGCTCTTGTTCAACATGACACCGTTGTCATTGGATTTGCAAGAAGGAAAAATAAGATGGAGGTAATTGATTGAATTTTATTTCTTTTTTACTTTTTATAAACTTGTTTTCATCATAAAAAATAAATAGTCTGTTATTAATGTGACTGTATTTGTAAAACGCTTAAAATATTTTGTATTAAAAATATTATAAAGTAATGTATTGTTTTAAATTTAATAAAATACATACATTCATGTAATAGATAAATTAATTAAAAAAACTATATTTAATTAGTGATTTATAATATAATAGTATTATATATATATAGCAGGGTTCTTTAAAGTATGGATCGCGATTTAATCTAAGGTCGCGTAATTAAATTTCAGAGTCAAAGAAATTTTAAATAGATAACAAACTTCTCCATATCTAAAGTTTTCGATAAGAATTATATTTAACGTTTTATGTGAACGGTTATTATTATTATTAAGAAAAAATCATTTTTATTAGAGCGAAATGCAGAATGTTAAGGGAAAAGATAAAGGAAAGTTTTATGCATGCGAGTGTGATGTTTCCAATCCTGAAAGTATCGAGCATGCATTCGAATGGGTCAAGAAAAATTTTGGAGTAGTTCATATTCTGGTGAACAATGCTGGTGTCTCAACAAATAAGAAATTTATGGGTATGAACTTATTATTTAGAAAAAAATATATTTAAATAAAATTAATAAAATGTTTTCTTTAGATTCTTCCAGACCCGATTGGAAAAAATTATTCGATATCAATGTGTTAGGATTAATCGATTGTACGAAACGTGCCGCTAGATTAATGTTAGATGCTGAYGTAGARGGTTGCATTATTAATATCAACAGGTTTGATGGTTTATCTTTTTAATTATTTTACTGTTCTTGATGTTATTGTTATTATCGGTTGTTTACTGATAAATATAATTGATTGTAACACTCTACTATATTTTTTTTTTTTAGCGTCGCCGGTCACGATATTTTTTGTTACCCGGGTGTTACTCTTAATATGTATTCAGCAACGAAATATGCTGTTACTGCTGCTTCTGAGATTACTGCAAAGGAATTGCATGGTAGTAAAATTCGAGTGACGGTAAATATAAGCTTAAGTTTAATATTTGCAGATAGTATAAATATCACCCTCTATAATTAGATATAAATTATTTTATAAAAGAAGTAATTTTATAATTTGTATGTTTGGTATAAGGATATATTATATTTTTTTCTTCTGTTATGGTATTTTAATAATAGTGTGATATGTTCTCTAGTTCTCTAGTTATTTATATTTTATTTATAAAGTGTTAAAAAATTTTTTAGAACAAACTAAACTTGTTGAATCATTCATATTTTTTTTTCTTATATCACAGAGTGTTAGTCCAGGATTTGTTGCTACGGATATCGTTACAGCCAACAATTTTGACTTAACAAATTTGCCCAAGAATGTGCCGGTATTGAAATCTAGTGACATTGCAGATGCTGTTATTTATATAATTGGAACTCCCCAACGTGTTCATATTACTGAATTGACTATTAGACCAATGGGAGAACTTAGATATCAAGATCAATAANCAGGTTTGATGGTTTATCTTTTTAATTATTTTACTGTTCTTGATGTTATTGTTATTATCGGTTGTTTACTGATAAATATAATTGATTGTAACACTGTACTATATTTTTTTTTTTTAGCGTCGCCGGTCATGACATTTTATGTTTCCCGGGTGTTACTCTTAATATGTATCCAGCAACGAAATTTGCTGTTACTGCTGCTTCTGAGATTACTGCAAAGGAATTGCATGGTAGTAAAATTCGAGTGACGGTAAATATAAGCTTAAGTTTAATTTTGCAGATAGTATAAATATCACCTTCTATAATTAGATATAAATTATTTTATAAAAGAAGTAATTTTATAATGTGTATGTTTGGTATAAGGATATATTATATTTTTTTCTTCTGTTATGGTATTTTAATAATAGTGTGATATGTTCTCTAGTTCTCTAGTTATTTATATTTTATTTATAAAGTGTTAAAATATTTTTAGAACAAACTAAAATTGTTGAATCATTCATATTTTTTTTTCTTATATCATAGAGTGTTAGTCCAGGATTTGTTGCTACGGATATCATTACAGCCAACAATTTTGACTTAACAAATTTGCCCAAGAATGTGCCGGTATTGAAATCTAGTGACATTGCAGATGCTGTTATTTATATAATTGGAACTCCCCAACGTGTTCATATTACTGAATTGACTATTAGACCAATGGGAGAACTTAGATATCAAGATCAATAATAGGATTAAGTTTAATATTTGATATGGATTTTATATTCGTATTTTTTTTCTATAACCATAAAACAATGAAGGTATAATTTTTGTAATAATGTTAAATGAAACTGACAATTATAACACTTCGGGTTTTACCTCGATAAGTCAATAAACATTTATATATCTTTTCTCAACCATGACTTTTATTTAAATTTGACCATTACTTTTCGTTACATCACTAGAGGACTACATATTGGAAAAGTCTTTAGCGTATCTACAATTTATTTGGAATAAGAACGAAATATTTAGAATGTTTAACATTTAATTAGTTTAATATACAATATTATTCGGTCATAATTTAAATAACCTTATTAAATAATAATCATATGATAATTTTTTAAAATATACAAACAATAATTAAATTGTAACCGTTGCAAATATGTGTTATGTAAATGCGAAAATTGTCATCTAAATAAAAAACAAAGAAAACATTTATCATCTTTATTTCATTCCTTATAAAGATTGATTACATAAAATTATTCTTTTGTAAGAAAAAATAGAGGAAAAAGAAAACGAAACAACATTGCATTGACGTCTATTTGCAGAAGATGAAATAAAGTGCATACTATTTCTTCATGAACATAAATTATTCTAATTGTAATTTATAAAAAAAAGAGAGGAAAGAAGATGAAAAAAAAAACAAAAAACAACTCCGACTTCACTTCAGTTCAATCTTGATAAAAGTTCTTTTTACGTCTGTTGCGATCTGTGTTGACCTTGGCCTGACGTGCAGCTTCGGTAGCCTTGTCAGCAGCACGCTTTGTGTTTGCCAGTTCGATCTTAGCTGAATCAAAACGTTTTATTAGATCTTCAACCCTTTTTTTTGATGCCTCGAGAAGATCTTGTTTTTCTTCGAATTCTCTTTGAGCACCTTCAGCTGTTGTTCGTGCATTTCCCAAATTTAGGTTTGCTATTTGTATTGCTTGGGTCAATGTTCTGACCTACAAAATACGTTTTATATTAATTAATTTTTTTCTAGTGTTTTTCGTTGATCTATCATTTGTTTTATTTATTAAAAAAAAATTAAAAAAATTTTAAATTAAATTATTTATTATATATATAATGAATATTACATAACTCGAGATTCATGCATTTCCAATTAAATCAAATTGAGTATTGGAATAATTTAGAATTGAAATTGAAATTTAATTTTTTAATCAAAATTAAAAATATCGTTAATTTGTAATTTAGGTTGTTGTAAATAAATATATAATAAGAATAAATGTATTAATATATAAATATGTATGTAATGTATGAATATATTATAATAATTTCGACCTATTGCATATAAGTGGATACATGCAAGATTTATAGATAATTTAAAAGAATAGATTATTATTCTGACCTGTTCTTGAGCCTGTCGTGCTGCTTGAATTGCAATATTCGCATTTTCTTGATTACGTTGTAACGAAGAACTTTCTTCCTGAACTACAGTCTCTGCCTCCTTTGTCTCTCGTTCGAGTTGTTCTACCATTGCTTCTTTTGCTGCAAGTGCTGCTTCTGCTGCTTTTGCTGCCTGTATTGCTTTTCCTGCCAGTTGATTTTTCACCTAAACATTGCAATCCATAAACAATTTCTTTAAATAATTCGAAGGGATACGATGATAAAATCTAATGATTGGTACTTCGCATATATTAGAATGTAGAAAATTGTTCCTATACGATTAATCGAATCACGAGATTAGGCACGTGCTTAGTTACAATCTAACGAAAGTGATCACGTGCTGTGCAAATCAATTAAATACAATATATGCCTACTTTTATCTGAGAATTAAAGAAAAAATATCTTTTCAAAAGTGAGAGAATGGCTAAACTAGTGTCAAATAAAAAAGAAATATATATCCTTGAGATTTTATTAGCAAAAAGGGGAAGTATTCGACTCAAATTTGTAAAGAAATTTGTGAATCTTATAAAACATGATGTAGCATCAATGCATGAGATACAAAACTGATTCAAACGTTTTCAAAAACAACCTCAAAGATGCACTTTGCTCTCTTTGATTGATCAATCGATGGAAAAATCGATACAATAATGAAAACAAATTGAGCAAGACAAACACATTAATTATCATCATATCAGTAAAACATTATCCTTAAATATCAAACACAAATAGTTTGAAACCATTGGAAGAAAACTGGGATACAAGATATGCTAAAAATTTATTTTAATTTTGTATTAAAATAAGAATAAAACTAAATTTAAATGAATTTCTAATTTTATGTATAACATTCATTTTTAATTTATCTGAATTTATTTAGTTGTATAACAAATCGTTAACCCTTTAGTAGATACTCCAAATTTTACACTTCAAAGAACTTTATCATACACACTGTGAATATATTATTTATATTCATATTTATATATGTATAAATATACCATGTATATGTATGTGTGTATTTGTATAATGTTCTAGAAAGGTAGAAAATCAGCGGACCATGACAGCACGTTTATGCCTGACTCACGATTTCAATGTAAATGTCAGCGAGAACGTAAATCGAACGTATCAATGATAAAAGATTATGAATGTGAGATCTTTTAAAAAGCTTATCGCTACTAATGTAAAAAACATTAATAAAGTGTGAGAATCTTTCTGAAGATTGACGCAAATTTACCAACAATATCTCTTTTTTTATAAATATTAATAACCGATAAAGAAATGAAATTAATTATTTATGGTACAAGACTTTCATAGTTATTTGAATTTAATAATTAAACGTATTAGGTCGTCCGAAAAATTTCTTCCTTTTTCTTGATAATAAGTTGAACAATATTGTATGTATCTATTTTGAATATTTTTACAAAATATTATATAATAAAATAATAAAATTTATCGACGATACTTACTTGACGAGATGCTTGCGCACCTGCAACATTTTGAGCATCTTGAGCAGCTTTGGCATCCACTGCAGCTTTTTGAGCAATGTCGACGATTTCATTTGCATTTTTTAGACTTCCCTCTAACCTATCATTCTAAATCAATTTTTTATGTATCAATTTTATATCACGAAATATATTTTTAAATATTTTTAAATTAATTTGATTAACCTGATTTATCTTTCGAATCTTTCTATTCTTCTCCGTTGCATACGAGTTTTTCACAATAACTAAAAACGATATTATTTAAATTGATTAATTGAAAGATTAATTTAAATAATTTTATTTCAAATGAATGTTTGTAACTAACGTGTATATAAGATTAACAGAAGGATTATCTTCATTCCTTAATGGTATCTTCTCAAAATATGTTTTTCCATGACGAAAAAAAATATTTTATGCAACAAAGAATATCTTTCAAATGAGATAATATAATTTTATTTGTTAAAACATCACAGTCGTTTTATTCTGAACTATCTGAAGTTGAATCATAAATGTTTGCATATATTAATTTCAATGTAGTATATAGTATGTGATTTGTAATGTATTAATCATAATTATTAGTAATTACAAATTTTATTTGTGCTATTATAAATATTTTATAATAATAATTTAACTATAAATATAATTTAACAAATAATTGATCTACATTTTACTTATATATTAAAAATTTAATTATAAAATTAATATATTATATTAACGCAATAATAACTAAAACCTTTTATTTCAGTATATGTAAATAGTATAATGCATTGCTTCGATTGATTGTAATATTTATAATATTATTATAATCATCATTATATTAAATATTATTATTATAATAAATAATTTAATATTATGTATTAAATTAATAATATATTATAAATAAATTAATATATTATTATTATAATAAATTAATATAATATAATAATATTATTATATATTATAAATTTAATTTAAAAAAAAAAACTTTTTTTTTATGGTAGAAATAATTTCTTTCTTTTTTATATATTTTGTTTTTATGATGTATTTATGCTAAAAAATTAATTTGTATGAAAATTGTTTAACTAAAACTAAATCGTTAGGCAGACGTGAATAAAATGAAAATAATTCTATACTTTTATTTGTTTTCTTAATGGAATATACAGCACATATATATTATCAATTGTATGAATATCATTATAAAAAAAAAAAGGACAGGTCATCAGAGATCTAAGCAATTAAAAACTAAATAAGTGAGTGTTCTCTTTACAAATCTCTCTATCCTAAGTTGAAAAGAAAATGTATGAACATTTTGACGTTCAAGTTAACTTTCTCCTTCTTCTTTTCTTCCTTCTCCTTTTAATTATCTTTCTTCCAGTTTGTCGATATTTCCGGTCAGGATTCTGCAAGGTTTGTTGTACATGTAACAAGGATTTTCTTTTGTTGCGACTTGCATTGGCTTTGGCTTCGTGTGCAGCCTCGTTTGCTTTAGCTGCAGCACGATTCGTATTTATTAAATCTTGTTTGGCAGCACGTAATTCGCTGTTCAGTTCTTCGAGACGTCTCTTAGCTGCCTCGAGTAATTCTTCCTTCTCGTGTAAAGACTTCTGTGCACCGTCTGCCGCCAATTTGGAATTAGCTGCATTTCTCTTAGCCGTTTGCATCGCGTGTGTCAGCGTCTTCAGCTGTGATCGTGATTTCATTGATCAATCAATACTTTTTTGGTGTGTTATTAAATTTCATTTATATATAATTAATTTTATGTAATATGTTTTAGTTGATTAATTGTTGGGGGGTTACAAAGTGGGACAATGATTTCATATTTTGTTTTGAAAATTATTAAACGATTAATACAAAATATTTTGGGATTTTAAAAAAATATAATTTATGTCTACGTAAATAATAAGAATGTTAATTGATTGATATGTAAGTAAATAAGAACTTATAGAGTGTTTGTTTAAATAATAATATTAAAAATAATATTTTAAAAATTTAAATAATAAAAATAATATTTAATTTTTAAATTAAAAAGCTAATATTATTAAGTTAAAAATAATATTTTATTCACTTATCATTAGTTAACAAATACTCTATAAGTTTAAGTAGTAATACTAATAAGTATAATTAATATAATGTGAAAAAGTGTTTGTAAAGTAGTAACTCGAACCCGTAAAAGGGTGGGTAAAATGATATACGTTGATAAGTTGAAAAGTTTTGAGTCCAGTATAATAAAAATTATTTATTATTATAATAATATTGTCTTGGTCGATAAATAATTTGTAAATGTTTAATGTATATAGATAAAAATATTTTATCAGTATAATAACAAATGTTATATTGAGTTTTCCCAATGTTAACATTTTCAATAAATATTATAATATAATAAATAATATTTTGACAAGAATTTAAATTTGTTAATAAATAGAAACTATCGAGTTATACACGTTGGTATTTGATAATTGATAGGAATGTGAAATACTTCATAAAATATACAATTGCCGTTCTATTTGATAGAAATAATTAGATAAAAGAAATAATTAAAATTAATAAAGAATTTCTTCAGAAACTAAACAACGTCCAGTTTTCTCAAGGGATCGTTAATAAAAAGTTAAAGAAATAGTACTGACGACAAGAAAAGCATTTGAAAAAGATTAGAAAGCGTTTGTGACATGGTATAGTGACGTGAATCGAACAAGTTGCATATTTTTAGAATGTATACTACAGATAACTCGAATCTGATCGATCTATCTTTGTCAATCGTTAACTATAATGCAATTTAAATGAATTTTTTTTTATATTTAATTAACTTAACAATTAATTTCAATGATTTTAAGATGACCAAAATAGACATTTTTTTAAATAAGGGTTTGAAATGATTACAATTGTTTTCGTATAACATTATTATAAAAATGAAATCAATAAAAAATCAAATAAATTAAAAACAAATTAATTTTAATTTATTATAAATGCTGATCAAATAGACAAATGTAATAAAAGAAAAAGGTTGAATGTTTCAAGTGTTAAACCACAATTGTATTAATTGTTTTTTAACAGAATTTATATGCATTTATACACACATTGATACTTATTTTTTTTTTAAACTAGAACTAATCTTTAGACGGATTCAAAGGAGGGAAAGAGCATAGTCGGTTTTAACATACGAAAGAAGTAGTGTGAGTGTATTAGAAATAAAAAAACAAAGAGACAGGTTAATAAAAACGAAGGAAAAAAAATAATAAAAAAAGATAGAATAAGAGAGAAACAAAGAGACAAAGAGAGAGAGAGAGAGAGAGAAGAGAGAGGATAGAATAATAAAAATGAGATAGAGAGAGAGATAGAGGAATAAATTGATAGAGAGAGAGAGAGAGAGAGAGAGAGAGAGAGCGCGCAAAGTTATTTCAAATATAATTGATAGCTGATACAAATAATATTTTAGTTAAAAAAATATTATTTATAATTTATTATAAAACAAAATTATTATATTATTATTATTATTATTATTATTATTATTATTATTATTTTTATATTAATAATAATATTATTTAATAATAATTATAATTAAAATGATTAAATATAATACTAAAATTTATTTTAAATTTATATTTTTATTTTTATTATAATTAAAAATAATATTTTTAACTAAATATATAAAAAAAAAAATACTTTATAGTAAAATTTGCTATAACTCAGTTGTCGACATTTATTTAAAAAAAAAAAAAAATAAAAAATAAAAAATAAAAAAAAGAATAGAGAGAAGGGAAAAATATGAGATAGAAGTGTCCTTGACTTCTTTTAATTCCTACAAAACGAGGATATGTTGTCGATCCTGGGAAGACCTAGTTATCTTCTCTAATCGTTTCCCTTTTCTAAGTAAATATATTTATATATATGTATGTATATATGTACGTAAGTTAACTAGCGAATGGAAAAAGTATGACTAGGATATTAAAAGAGATCAACCATAGCCTTGAGCCACGCAGTTATGTTACCAAAGAGATATTGCGTAGGAAGTTGTAAATTTTTTTTTGACTAAATTCTTATTACACACATTAAATGTTTAAATTATTAAATTACCTTTAAATTAAAATTTATTTACTTGTCCGTAAAGTTCATGTCGATTCATAAATGCTTGATATTTTATCTTTGATATATCCGTTTATCAAAATTTTCAAATTGTGTTTTTGTTTTTACATTTTTTTCATTAAAAATCGGCACGAATTTTACAAACGATTTATATTATATTTTTATCGTAATTTTCAATTTGCAATAATTACCAGATATTTTAATAAATTTATATTAAAACTTGCTTGTAATTTAAATTATATTAAATTCAGTTTTTGTATCACGAAAATCCTGAATTATTTTTCTTCTTTTTATTTTTTGGATTTTTTTCTTCGAAATTGTTGATTTTCTCTCGTATAATTTACTTTTTTAATTGTATTTTTTGTTTAATTTTTTAATCGTCTTCTTGTCGTTCTTTTGTACACTTTCAAAGTTTCTAAAAGATTATAAAAATTGTTGTGTTTTTTTGTTTAAATTATTTTTACCTGTTCTTGTGATTCTCTAGCAGCTTCAACTGCAGCATTAACGTTAGATTTTGCTTGTTGCAAGGACGCCATTTCTTCTTGAACGACAGTTTGAGATTCTTTAACTTCTTCTTGCAATTGTTGAACCATCGCTGCTTTTCCTGACAATACTGCTTCAGCAGCTCTCGCAGCTTGCAACGCTTTCTCTGCCAATTGTGCTTTCACCTAAATTTTAATCTTCATTATTTTTTTTTACATCCACATCAATGAAAAATTACAAATAAACAAATAAGATAGAATTATACAGTAATTCACTAAATACATAATCGAATAGTGTTGAAATATTTGTCATCAAAAAATATATTAATTAATAACAATAAGTACTTGATGTGCTGCTTGCTGACCAGCAATATTCTGAGCTTCTGATGCAGCTTTAGCTTCCTCAGCAGCTTTTTGAGCAATGTTGCTAGCTTTTTCGAGAGTTTTTTTCGAATTTTTCGAATGACAAGATGGACCATTTTCAGCTAATCGAATTTCCCTATGATTCTTGCGCATACAATTTTCATGAAATATAAATAAACAATTGTATTATAAAAACATTTTCATTTCTTAATATTAATGTTACCGATTCGAGTGTAGATTTTTGAACTCGTTCACAGTCGAGCTTACCGATCATCAGCATGACTGAAACATGAATGGATCGGTTATTGTGGTTAAGATGACAATAAACATAATTTTATATCAAATACTTACCAATATAGGATAAAAAAATAATACGATAATACATTTTAAGCCATTGATCGTACCAAGGACGATTTTATGAATAATTTTTGTCTAGAAGCCATGTTTCGTTTTATTAAATTCGATCGATTTGTGTCGATCGATTGGGTGTATTGGTTAGAACACATCTATCGAGCAGGTAAACGATTGAAATACGATTTTATCGAATTGTCTTTAAGAAATCTCGATATTTATATTTATAAACAATACTTTTCTTGTAAAAATAAAACTATCTAAACTTACTTCTAATCAAACCTTTTAATATTCAAGAAAATTATATTAAAATATTATATTTAATTATATTTATTATCAATTAATATTATATATATATAGTATATATATAATAAATATAATTATTGTATTTATATATATATATAATTTTCATATTATATTATATTATTATTATAATAATTATATACAATAAATATTAATTAAATTAAAAATAAGTTAAAATTATATTAAAATATAAAAAAAATTATTTAAATGAAACTTAAAGCTAATAAAAAATACTATTTATAATTATAATATAAATTTAATTAAATTATTATAAATAGAAATTAATATAAATGTAACAAATAATAAAAAATAAACCAAATTATAGTACTATATATATACATATATTTATAATTATAGTACAATAGATTAAAAATTTAATTACAGTATATTTTAATTACAGTACTATATATACTATATTTTTATAATACTATAATTTGAAATATAAAAAGAATATAAATATCCGGTATATAGTACTATTTTTTTTAAGTAACACTAACTATATCTATACATAGAACTTTCGATTGTATTTATGTACATATATGTCTGTTCTGATTAAAATCAATGAATATATATATATATATATATATATATATATATATTATATGTATATATATATATATATATATACATATAATAATATATAATACTATCGTTTCTTTAAATGATCATAATTTTTTTGTATGACCTCCTAACCTCTTGTAATCGAGATCGAAAAATCGATTCTTACGTTTCTTTGAATTCCTTAACGTTATTTTACGCAATTCTTGTTTCCTTTTTGCCTCAGAGAATCACGAAGTCCCAATGAATAGATACATATATATATATATATTATAGAGTGTGTTTTTGATCTATAAAAGAGAAATTGATTTGAGTAACGTTGTGTTTTATTCGAAAGAAATGGATACTTATTTCGCAAGTTGAATTCTATTTTCAAAAGTTTGGTGATCTTTCATTGTTATGTAATATATTTTTTAATATTTTTTAATTCTTTATAAATAATAATAATAATAATAATAATAATAATAATAATAATAATAATACATATATGGAAATGTATTACATTATGTTCTTTTGAACTCGATGCATCATCATTGTTATTAATCATATTAATCTGCAATGCATATGTAACCTACAAGTGCATTAAGCGTAACGAGCGATTTATTCTTGTAAGAAGATGCATTGTTCCTAATTTAGTTATATTTAAAGATATTAATCTTAATTGTTTAGAACAAAAGTCTCATTAAGTCTCATTTGAAAATAATTGTTATATTTACGTGTTTAATAAGTATACGTTAAAATAAATAAAATAAGATATAATTAATAAGAAATTATTTTTTAGTCATTGTAATTAATATTTTAAATGTATTTATATTAAAATATTAAAATATTAATTTATACATAAAAGAATGTATAATAATATATATGTATTATTATTATTATTATTGTCTAATATTACATTAAACATTATATTATTTTAATATTATAGTGATATATTTTATATAATTTATACAAATACAGAGTAATTATTATAATAAATTCTAATATTTTAATAATTTATAGTATAATGTTATGTTGTTTATATAATTATCTAATATTATAATATTTAATAAATATTATAGAATATATTTTTATTTTGATAATTAAATATAAATATAATAAAAATAAATTAAATGAAATATAATGACATATTATTATTGTCTAATTTTATAGTAAATTGTATTATTTTAGTATTACAGTTATATAATTTATATAATTTATACTAAAACAGAGAGTGATTATACTATAATAAATTCTAATATTTTAATAATTAATAGTATAATATTATGTTGTTTATATTATCATCTAATATTATAATATCTAATTAGTATTATAGAATGTAATAAAATTATCTAAACAATATAATATAATATAAAATATATTATATTAATAAAATTAAATAATAATAAAATAATTAAATAATAAATAATAAAAAATATGTAATAATATAATAATATAATTAAATATAAAATAAATAATAAATCAAAATAAAATGAAATATAATTAAATATATATAATACCTCAAATTTCAATGTTAATTAAAGAAAAATTGTTAATTGTATTCAATAATTATTCTGTACTAAAAAAATGAAGATATTAGATCAAATGTATGAATTTGTACCACCATTAAATATATTATTTATTAACTGTATTCAAGTTTTTTTTTGGCTCAATGAATCCGTCACGCTTCCATCGATCTATCAGAAGGAAAAAACTGTTCAAGTGGATGTATTGTAGTGGTTTAGAAAAGGACGTTACTATGGTTGGTTCTTTGAAAGAAGGTCCACAACCCCTTCCGTGGCAATAGACTAACAGTTGCTGGACCAGTCAGGACTATAAGAGCTGCGATGACCAGGTAAGTAGTATCAGTTCTTGGCTCTTTCCTCGTGCAAGGACAGCTCCAATTCTCTCTTCAACTTTTATCCTTTCCTTTTGATTATAAGTAAGTAATAAACTTTCCTAAATTTTATTTAACCTAATTAAATCATTAAAGTTCAATTTTGAAGTCACGAAATTGTTCTAAATTTTTCCTGTTAAACCATAAGAAAAAAATGCAATGAGTGATTCCTTAAAGATGACAACAAGTAACAATATTTGTTTAAGTTTTATTCATTGGTTTATCTTAATACTTTAATGGCCGCAAGTGTATGCAGTCAAATGTCGTCAGGGGCCCGGTAATATTTTTCAAGAATTATTTTTAAAACGACTTTATTGTCATTTACGACAAAATTAATATAAAACAAAAAACAACAAATTTAATTTTATATTTAATTTTAAATATATATAAAGTTATAAATAAAATAACGGCCAATGTGTGTGTGTGTTCCGGTTATTAGACACATGTTGTGTGAGCGGCCATTAAAGTGTTAAAGCTCGGTATATTAATTAATAAATTAATAATTATAATAATAATAATAATAATTTATAATAAGTTATATAATTATATAATAAGTTAAAAATTAATAATTATATTATTATTAATATAATTATTATATTTTATTTTTATATTTATTATATTATAATATTATTATATTTATTTTTTATTAAATATAT